CGAGGCAGGCTGATCACTTGAGGCCAGGAGTTTGAGACCAGCCTGGCTAATGTGGCAAACCCCCATCTCTACTAAAAACACAAAGACTAGCTAGGCGTGGTAGAGCATGCCTATAATCCCAACTACTGGGGTGGTTGAGGCACAAGAATCGCTTGAGCCCGGGAGGCAGAGGTTGCAGTGAGCTGAGATGATCATGCCATTGCACCCCAGCCTGGGTGACAGAGTGAGACTCCATCTCAAAAAATAAAAAAGAATTTGAACAAAAAGCTGACAGCCAATGGATGAGCACGGAATCATGAAAAGTTGCAACACAAGCATAACGTGGGTCTTGTCAGAAATATTTAAGCTGAATTTGACAAGTCCTCAAAAGTGAGGTCTGTCCAGATTTTGGCAGTCAATAAAGTTCTTTCATATCCATTTTTTTTGGTTAATCCTCAGGACGACTTTGGTGGTGGGAACAAGCTTTGCTACTGACCTCCCTGCAGGGCTCAGGAAGTGGAGGTGTGGGGAGAAAAAGGAGAATTGCCAGGGCATGCGGGGAGCGGCACACGGTGGCCCTCAAAAGTTGGCGTCTTTTCACTCCAAGTGCAGATCTGCTGACTCCCTGGCCAGGCTGCTTGAAATGAAAGCATTTCTAGGGAACACTACATAAAAACTATGTTTTAAATATCCTTTTTGTCATTTGAAACCAAAAAGATGTTCCTGTCTTCCTGACCTCTGAGCAGCATTCTTCAGAGCTGGCCCCTTTAACTCCATCCTTTTGCTTGAATACTAAATCTTTTCATCAAACTCTCACTGTGTCCCTTCCACTTCCTCATCGATTTTCTCTGCTGTCTTTTCCTTGCCTATTCTGAGTTCTTAGAGCTCAGGCTCACACTCTTCTCTTCTCATGTGTACTTTCCTTACCACAAACCAATAATTCCTATTTTCCCATCTTCGACCCCTCTTCTACGGCCATCTCTACATAATCCAGCTGCATGGATGGCACTACGGCTGTCACTGTCGGCTGCTCTTCCTCATCCCTAATGTCTAATCCACCTGCACATCCTGCATGGTCCGCAGGTGCATTTGTCTCAAACGTGCCCACTTTTCTCAATCCCCACTCTACCATCACCTGTCCAGGGCATCACACCCTCTGGCCTGGGCTAACTTTTCTCCTCCATTTCCTCTTGCTTCTTTCTAGCACTTACCCTGTGGCAGCCAAAGTTTCATTTGAAAAAGGCAGATCTGATGGTCTTCCCTTAGTGAAGACACTTCAGTGGTTTCCCATTCTCCTTAGAATAAAATTCAAAAGTAATCAACGTGGTCTACACAGCCCTGCCTGCCTGCGCCGTGGCTTCCCTGCCTGGTATCTCTCTCTGCCCCACTCCCTCTCTAGTGGAACGTTGACCAAGCCAGGTAAGGCTCCCACCCCGTGGCCTGCTCACTTAGCGTGCCACTCTCCTCCACCACGGCAGTCATTGCCATGATGATAAACCATTACTTGGCGGATTATTTGCTTAGTGCCCATTTCCCTCACAGATCTAATCATCATGATGGGAGGCTGTATGTCTAGTGTCTAGCATGCTGCTTACACAACAGAGGTCTTCCCTAAGTATCTGTCAAACGACTACCTACAGACCCAGGGAAAAGGTTTTAATTCAACCTCATACTTAAAAACAACAACAATTGAGTCCAGCATCCTTGAAAGCCCCAGTCACTCACAATAAAAAGTTAGAGGCTTATAGAGGGTTTGCATTTTTAGACTGCCAGGATCTTCTTCTGCACATTATTGCTTCATGATTACTGGCCAATAAGATACAGGGGAGACCTCTTTAAAAACAATTCATGAGATGGAGCCATAGAAGCATATTTTTTGGCCAGGTAGAGCTGGTTATTTTCATAACTGGACAATGCCAGGATGGTCTTGAAGGGTGCCACATGAGATGCTGGTGTCTTGAAAACCTCAGAATAGTAAAACTTACTACCAGGGAGCAGGTGCTTCTGAGGTCTATTTGATTCATTCCTGTGACTTAAAGACACTCGCCCCAAAATGAAGGGATAGAATGCTCTCAATAATTTGAAACACATATATACATCACTAATATCATTTCAAAACTCTTGAGCAGAATCAAACATCACCACAAATTTGCTCAAGATTACCAGAGTGGAAGTCTCGACCCCACAAGGCTCCCATTCTTGGATCCTAACTCCATGATACAGAATAAAATAAGCTGTATTTTATTTATGCCTAGTAATAGAAACTTCTACCGAGCTGAGTAAAAATGGAAGGGGTCCTCCTTGTATTTTTTCTCACTATTGATGGACTCATTCACTTTAGCTTGGGCTAATCAAGTTCCTGGAATTTAGTTATAGGTTGTATTTCAACATTAGTCAAAAGCTGAGTCTTCTCTCCACCATTTAATTGGCCTGAAGCCATGTCCTTCTCATAAAGCTGATAAATGACCACATTCAGTGTATATTCAAAGTCCTTCTAAGAATATACAGGCACTGATTTAGAGCTTAGCCAAATCCACATGCTTGCTCATAAATAGCAAAGGATGTACAGGGCTTCCTTAGAAACCCTCTGGTAGGAGGTGACAGTTGAGATGACCAAATACAAAAGCTACAACCTACGTAGTCCTGTGTGACCAAAGGGGTAGCTAGGTGGCCTTTTTTTTTTTTTTTTTGAAAGTAGGAATGTTTTTCCTACAAAAGGAAAAATCACTCACAATGAAGCTGAATTCTGCAGCTGAACTATGGGCTTTAACAGTTTCTATGTGACGATGTAGTCCAAGCTCTTACTCAGGACACCAGAAACACAAGTGGTCACCAAGGTCCCCTGACCTTGGATGGAAGAGACATGGATGGAGACCTGCCAGGAGCAGGACACGACAGAAGAGTTCCTGGTGGCAGAGAATGTCGCCACTTAGAGGTTCAGAATTTCCAGCTGTCTGAGTACTTAGTATTCCTTGCTCTTTTCCACTGTGCTATAGAGTAAGATGAAGGATCAAAAGAGAAAGCTGGTGGCCAGACACATTGCTGCTTCTGGTATGGAACCAAGGCTCATGCCCACAGGAACGCATCGCAAAAGGCTTGTGTCCTCACACATGCTGGCTGACGCCTTCTGTGCAAGCCAGGATTGAACGGGTGTGTCTCTGTGGATGCACACGCCTCAGTGAGCTGAACTCTGACTTGCTCCATGGTAGATGTTCAAGCAAATGTCACAGAAGAAGGGACACAAAGGAGGCCTTGGCAAAAGCTCTGACAGGGAGCATGAGTCGGAACCAAGTCAAAGGTAAGCATCTGTTGGGCACAGATTCTGTGCCCTTGTGCAGAAATCCTTATATGTTCAGGGTAAAAGACCACAGACATAGAGGCAAGATGAGGGATGTGGAACAGCACATCAACTCTGACTTATCAGTGGAGAGGCAGAACACATGGGGTGACTTGGTGCTCAGGCTCTGCAGGCCAATCCTCTGGATTTGAAACCGGGTTTTCTTCTCAACCTTTAGCAAGTTATTAACCTCTCTAAGACCCAGCTGCATTATCTTTAGACTGGAGATTATTGTGAGGATTAAATGAGACAATTTGTGTAAAGTACTGAACACAGTACCCGGCAACATGGGACCAATTACTTCCCTCCCTGAACCTCAGTTTCCTCTTTGTCAAATGGGGATTACATGAGCTTTGCATGAGAGATAATGGATATATGAAAAGAGATAGGACAGTAGATGAGATACTGGCTAGAAGCAAGGCACCCTGCCTGGTACTTGACACACTAAAATCACTCAATAATTACTACCATTGAGTGTTATTGCTGCTGGTCTGAAACTGATATTCAAGGGACATAATGAGGTTGATGGGATTTACTGCAAACTAGAACCGAGGCCCTCACTGATTTAAACCAGGGAGGCTGGACCTTGATGTACCATTTAAAAAGCAATCTGCTCCTAGAGACTGCAATTCACCACCCTTCTAACTTAGCAGTGGCCACCTGACAAAGCAAGTGAATTGCTGCAAACCCGTTAATGAGAAGCAAGCTGGTGTTTGGGAAACCTGTAAAATTGCTATCCCATTACCATGCAGTTAGTGCACCTTACATCTGCTGCCCAACTTCCCCAATAGCTGTGTACTCTCAGTTTCCTAATTGTCTAAAGGCTTTGATGTATCTGGCAGAGGAAGGAGGCCTGAGAGATTGGGGCAGAGTTCTGGGAAGAAGGCTTTAACAAAGACCACAAGGTGAAGGTCTGGCCCAGGACAAAGCATGCACAGTTTGTCCTGTGGCTAGCAGTATGGCTCTCCACACAGATAAGCAGTGTCTGCTGTTGAAGGCAGGTCTGCCCACAAGCTGCAGTGCAGGCCCTGGGTCCTAAGGGATGTCTGGGAAAGGATTTGTGAAACACTCTTGCTAGCATTCAGAGCATCAACAGGCAGATCTCACTCTTCCATACTTGAAATTCCACTTACCTGCTTATTCACTGTGATCTAGTTAACATCTGTATTTCACCTCTCAACTACTGACTCATTCATTCATATATGAATTTACTCATTCCACAAATACTTATGAGGCATATACTACATGCTGGAGATATATCAGGGAATAAAAGAGAGAAAATCCCCTTGTCCTGATGGAACAAAAATTCCAACAGGGACATTTAGGTGCATAAGAAGACGTGTAGAGTATGTTTGAAGGTACTAAGAGCTATGTAAAAGTAATAAAGCAGGGCAGGACAATAGGGCGTGCTGGAAGGAGGTGCTGTGACTTTAAGTAAAGCTTGCTGAGAAGGTGATTTATGGCAAGACAAGAAGGGGTGACGGCCTTCACCTGCTTTTCTGAAATGACCACATCACCACAAAAAGCAAGGGAAGCCTTTTGTCTGTAAGAGCGTTCAGGGCGTATCTGCCTTTGTGGTCAAGCTCTTTGTGCTCAAGGGTGGGATGTGGGCTCCTGGGGATCACCTGGGGAGTGACCACAACTGAGAGGCTTGGGGTCAGAGGTGTCTCGAGCAGGTCCTCACCTCCTCCAGCCGCCGTCTCTGCTCCTTCTGCTCCTCAATGCGCTTCTGACGCTCGGCCAGCAGCTGCCTCTTGTGCTCCTCATTCTCCCGCTGCTGCTGCTCCAGCTGCTGCCGTCGCAAGGCCTCAGAACGCTCCTTGTTGGCCAGCTGCAGCCTCAGAAAGTCCCTCCGCAGCGTCGACTCCCCTGGCAGATTCAGGATGGAGCTGTGGGCAGGAGAGAGTGATCAGGATCCCACATGGGGCAGGGGCCTTGGCTACCAAGAGGCCCTGGGGGAGGACAGCAGGGCAAACGACTCACCCACACACAGGGAAAGAAGAGCACAGGCTCCTAGGCCCTCCACAAATTCAACCATTCACCCCAAAGAAACAGCATCAGGGTAAGAGACCTGCCTCCCTTTCAGTACGATCGTGGCACGAAAGAAATGCTGCCTCCATCCACAGAGGGATGTCACATTCTCCGAGTTGTCACCTTCTCCAGGACTGTCCACACCACTCCCTCACCCTTGGGACGTGGCAAAGATTTGTTTCTAAAGAATTCAGCCACTGTGCAAGCCATGAGCCCCAGACTGGATTATTTTCAATAAAAATGGGCAATGGTGCGCAACAAGGGAATCTACCTAAACAGATCGACCTCACCCACACCACCCCCACGAGGCAGAGGCCAGGCTGTTCCTGTGAAGTCATGATGCGCCAGCAATGGAAAACCCTCAAGTCGAGGTCAACACAGAGTCAGGATCTGAGCCCAAGCTTGCTACGTCTAAGATAGAGTTTGCCTGACTGCTATACACATAAAGGGCTTGGTTTGGCTCTGGCCACAGAGGGTGTGGCTAGCATTTCAACCCAGCTCATTGGTTCCTAGATTCTATTTAGGCAACACTTCTCTCTTCTGCAAAATGGTGGTTGTACATATATGTGTGTGCATGTGACAGAGAATGAGAGGACATAAATAAGCTCTCCCTACTCCACTGGAGGTCCAGGGCTGGCCTACTCCCAGGTGAACAACTAACAGTTACAGACTCCTTGATTCTGCACAGCAGCCTAAGAGGGAAATGACTTCTATTTGTTTATTCAAACCTAGCCCTTTTCATCTTTCTGGAAGCTTCCATTTGAAAGAAATCTATTAAACATACATATACACATACATATATATGTATATATGTATGTTTAATATACATATTCATATATATGTATACATGTTTAATAGATTTATTTCAAATTCATATATGTATGAATATTAAACATACATATATACATACATATACATATGAAATAGATTTCAAATTTACTTCCATTTGAAATAAATCTATTACACGCACATAAATATATGTATGTTTAATAGATTTATGTCAAATGTGCATATATATATATATACATATATATACAGAGCACCTGCTACGTGGCAGTCACTGTAGCAGGCTCTAAGGATATGGCAGTTGCTAGATAATTTCTCTCTTTAAAGTTATCTTCTTGTGGGACAGACATACAGACAAATAACTTCAGGTATTAACAGACTCTAGAGAAGACAAAAATTGTAATTGTTTAAGAGTGACGGTGGCGGGGAGCTGGGGTAAATTTGAGGCCCTACTTTAGATGGGTGGTCAGGAAGACCTCTCTGGGAAGGAGGCATTTGATGAAGAAGGAAGAATGTTCTAGGCAGAGGGAAAAGCAGGTTTAGAGGCCTGGGGTGAAAACAGGTATGCACCCTATTTTTAAGCAAACGAACATCAGCCCAGCTTCCCAAAGCAGAGTGAATGAGAGGGAGAAGGGTAGGAGAGGAGGTCAGAGAAATTGGTGTGGGCTGTGACAACCACGCACGCACGGAAAGGTTTCACGCAGAAGAGTCACATGAGCAGACTGGCTTGGGTGTTGAATGGATGACCTTGCGAGGGGTGCAAGGGCAAGAGTGGCTCTGGGGTGGAGACACCACGCAGATGGAGAGCAGTGGGGATGGAGAAGGGAAGGAGTATTTGGGGATAGAGGTCATGAAGTCTGTTGACAGCTCTGACATGTGGAGTGAGGGATGAATTTCAGGTTCTGTCTTGGCTGCTGGGTGACGGTGGTGACCAGAACAGGAATGAGGAACCCTGGGGGAGGAGCAGGTTTAGTGGCAGTTGACAAGAGGATCAAGGTTTGGTTTTGGAGAGTGGAGTGTGCTGTGTGAGATACCGCCATGAAAAGACATAAAAAGGCTTTGTTTGTGATGTTGCATAGACAATACTTGGCATGTGCTAACAAGCCATCTCTAAAACTTAGAGCCTCTGTGTCAAACTCTAAAACAAGTCCCAAATGATGGTGCTTATCTACAAAGGCCAATTGCCCTCTGCAAAGGGAAGGGGGCTTGGGCACCCAGCCGCCCGTGCACACTGCTCCATTAATATTAATTGATATTGAATCAATGTCAGAAGATCTGAGCTGTGTTAGTGACTCAATGATTAACTCTGTGTGTGACCTGGTTGCAACCCTTGAGCTGTCACCTCATTTCTAAAATGAGATAACTACTGTCCTTCTCTGTTTTTCAGGATTTCATGAAGATTAATTAGACACGTCCATAAAAACAGGATTTGAACATCATCTTTAACATGATAAAATGACATGTAATAATTATGGAAGTGTTAAGGTATGGCTGGGATGGCTCCCTAAGTCACCCCTCACATGCAGTTTGGCAAGTGTTAGAAAAACAGGGTTTCTCATTTCTACAGGAAGTGGTCAGAAGGCTGACACAGTCATCCAGGCAAGCTTTTGAACACTGGTATACAACTTCTCTGAAAGCAGGGCATTTGGTCCTTTGCCTTTCAGGAATGTTCATTTTCTCTGTCACTACTTGGCAGTCATCTTTATGCAGCTAAACCGGGGGCAGCCGACATGGTATGTATCAGATGGTAGGAAAGAATTCTCCTTTGGTCTTTGACCTTGAGGAATCCTGTGGTAGGTGAAGACAGAAAAACTGGATGGCTCTGAAGGCTCAGTTCTATCTTCTTATAGAGGCTTAGCAAGAATCCAGCCCAGTAGGTCTGAGTTAGCATAAAAGAAGAACATGGTATCTGGCTCCTTCCAGCAGCGGTGGCTAAGCTGGCCCCTTTTCTGGTCAGAAAGCTCTCCCTCAGTGATATGGGAACTGATCCTTCTGAAGCATGAGGGTCCACTCCTTAGATGGCTTGAGGAAGAAGGCCATACCTCGGTGAGTCTTCTGCCTGAGCAATTCCCCCCAGTCTTACTTCACAGGTATACCACGTGGCACCATGGATATGTGCCTGCTCCCCTTGACTCACCAAGCTGAATTCGCTCACCAAAGAGAAATCCTGGCAGTGCAACCATTCTAACCTTAATTATTTATAAACACAGGCTAGACGAAGGTCAGAATCAAAGTCAAGTGGAATTCAAAATGTAGGCATGACAACAAAATGGCACTGGGTTCTGGGGTCCAACAGGTGACAACAGGAATGGCCCAAACGTATCTGCTTGGAGTTCATTTCTACATATCATTTGATTTATGGAAATGACTTTCTCCTGGATTAGGCTGCAGTGAAAATACCAAGGCATATGACAAGGACAGTGGTTGCCTGGATGGGTTTCTCAAAAGTACGAAGTAACAAAGTGAACAAGGCAAGTCCGAAAATGCAAAGTTGCTGTTTTAAGTATTTTTAGTCCTGCATTGCCAAGATAATTGCCTTCTACCCATTCTACCTGTTACATATGTAAGAAAACAAGCTCTTAGGCTAGAGACCATAAATCTTGTGGGACAAGATAAAGAATATGCTGATTTCCACATTTTCGTAATGTCTGCCTAGGGAAATTTTCTCAAATTAATGAATATGTTCAATGGGCAATAAATTAAATAAGACCACCCTGGTGGATTCTTTAAAAAGAACCTATAAATCAAAAGGAAAGTGAATTCCACAGAAGCACAATTCAGAATGTGAACATTAGAAGACTTGGCTTTTGCTCTCATACCTGGGCTCTCCTGAGTCGTTCTCCTCCTCCTCTTCCTCACTTCCGCTGTACTCATACTCTGTCTCATCTAAAGAAAGACCCCAGAGTGTTAGTGCACAAGAAGATGCTATGACTCAGTAAAGCCCAACCCCGTCTCTTATAAATAAATAAATTGATGCCCAAAGAGTCATAGTTAACAGAGCACTGGAACAGCCTCCAGGCTTGTGGTTTAATGGTTCCCATCAGTATATGAAATTAACCACATTCAAGACTGTCTCAGCTGACTCTAGATATCTGTCCCCAATGCCTAATGTTCACATGAAAGAGAAGATAAGGAATTAAAATAATCCTTTTCAATATTTTTGTTAATTTATTTTCAATTAAAAAATAATTTCTGTTTGTGTTAATTCCCATTATAAAGCCACCCATATCAAACCCATTGGCCCATTTGTAACTTACTGATGATATTAACCATTTTTAAAGTATGATTTTATTATGACTTACACGGACTCACAAACTGTCTTTAGATTATCTTGATAAATGCAACAAAGAAACTTTTGACAATAGGTACTATTAAAATATATAGTTAAAATGTGTTTTGATTGATCCACTAGGGACAATCATTTAATTCAGCAAAATGTGAAGCAGATTACATAGAGAATGAATAAGATTGAGGCTTTGCTTTGGAAGAGATCAAATCTAATGTGTGAGATGAGTAAATATCAGAGCCTCCATGATAGTCAAGAAAGGGAATGAATATTTGGTGGGTAGCTCTCATGCCTGTCACTATTGCTAGGTAGTTTACTCTGTTCTCTCATTTTTCATAATAGCACTCCAAAATAGTGTCTGTTTTTTAAGCAAGAATACTGAATTACAAGAGGTTAAGTAATATAACCAATGTTATCTCATTATTAAAAGGTCAATCAGGGATTTGGATTTGGAATTCAATCCAGAACTTTTCCAGCCTAAGAACCAGTGCTCTTTCCAATATGTTATATGCTAAATAGCAGTATATATAAGGAGCAATGACATATCGGAGAAAGGAGCAGCTAGTGCCACTAGCCATAATGGAGGAAGGGACAGTGAAGTCTTTGAAGAAAAAATGAACGGGTCCTTGGAAGTTCAGTGGCTCTTGTTCAGGCAGTTATTCGCTGGCATTGGTGGGAAAAGGACATTCCAAGCAACATATCCACATGAGTAAGGCTGGCAGTATTACAGTGCATAATATGTTCAGGAAACAATGAGCTGTGGGTAGTTAGGTAGGTGCCTTGGTGTGAGAAAACCTGATGGAGGAAGAAAGGCTAGCAGGGACAAAATGGCTCACCGATTCTTATAAATGCCATGCTGAGAACTTTTCTATGGGCTATGAGAAACCCTTGGAGGAGCTTTTAAGCAAGAGAAGATATCACATTACTGCTATCTCTTCATAGCTGTAGGTTAATAATTATGACCTTGAAGGTACTTGCACATCCCTAAAAAGGAACTGAAACTGCAATTTAGTTATGTTACCACCAGGAGGCAGTAGTCACACAGTGAGCATGCTCAGATTTGATAAATATGCCTTGTCTTTCACACTATTTAGCCATTGATTAAAAGAGATACTGAAAGAAAGCCAAAAGTTGGATGACTTCAAGTGTATTTTAGGTATGTATGAAGCTTTCAGACTACTTATTTTAAAAATATTAGTTCACCAAAATATCAAAAACCTGCATAAACTGTTTTAATGTTCGACACTAAAAATGTAATATTCCAAACTTTTCCAAAATGAATAAACAGATTTCAAAAAAAAAAAAGCGAAAATTTTATCTAAGAAAGGAAATTACAGCAAGGAAAAGAAGCACACAATTATTCCAATTATTGCTACTCTCTAGGGTAAAACCTTCATTTGTCAGGCTCCTCAATTTAATATTTAATACTTCACCAAAATTTGGCTTTGACTGCTTTAATATAACTGGGTTAAACTGGCATGTGTCAACCTATCTTAGCGAAAAAAAAATACCAGGTTAAAAAAATCATAAAGCAATGCAAAGTAGAATTGCTTTGATTAATTCTACCAAAGGTTGGTGATAGAACAACTAAGAAGTGAAAGTAATATTAGAGCAAACTTAGCCATTTCATTAAATTTAGCAAATGGAATGAGATCTCATTTGCCCAAACACCCTTCCTTGGGAGCAGAAAACAAGGAGACTAGAACTGTGATTCTGGTGGCCCTAAGCCTAAACATGATTAGATTCCGTAAATTACCACATAATTCTTGAATACACCTATTGCCAAGAATCTTACTTTTCCACTCGCAGAGAACAAACACATTAAAAGTGATCTATCTTCATGTCGTGGTGAGTTCTGAGTCACATTTCAAAGTTTGTGCCCCCCAATATGAGGAAACGACCTGAGTCACAGGTGTCACCCACTCTTATTTATGCCCCAGAAGGAGATGGGTCATGAGTTCTGACAAAGGACTCTGAGTAAGTAATGAAAAAGTATGGGTCAATAAGTAACTGCCTAAATAAGAATAACTTATATTTACTGACTGCATCTATGTCCTGGGTATTATATCAAGCATTTTAAATGCATTATCTCATTTAATCTTTGCAAGAATTCCTGGCAATAGATATTATTAGTAGACTCTCAATCTCATTTTAAAGATGAGAAAACTGGAGTGGTGTTCACATAACTGATAAGGGGCAGAGCTAGAATAGGAACCTAGAATACGAACCTGAAAACAGAGTCTGAGCACTTAAACTATGCTGTATATTAACAGTATAATAAAATGTCCTTTTTAGAGAAGTTGGCTTTTAAGGGTTGCATGTCTGACACGCTGCCCTAAAATATTCCCTTAAAAATTCTGACTTCATGGAGTAGCCCAAGACCAGCATGGACAAGGACCAGTTGGAAAATCAGTCCTGGAACTTTTAGAGCTTGACCCATGTATTTCTCTTCATACTTAGTTCCTCCATCTTGAGCTAGCCTCCCAGCTCCTTAGGGTCTAACTGACATCTTATTAACTACAGATGAGTCACCTTTTTGGCTTAGCTTCACAACCACCCACTCTTGAGTCTAACCTGATCATACACTCCTTCAAGTCCCTGATGCCAGCTGCAGAACAATTCTTCCCTGGGGCCAGGTTTGGTGGCCCATACCTATAATCCCAGCACTTCGTGCGACTGAGGCACGAGTATTTCCTAAGTTCGGGAGTTCAAGACCAGCCTGGGCAACAAAGTGAGACCTTGTCTTTACTAAAAATTAAAAAATAATAATAATAATTAGCTAGGCATGGTGGTGTACAGCTGCAGTCCCAGCTACTTGGGAGGCTAAGATGGGAGGATCACTTGAGCCTGGGAGACAGAGACTGCAGGGAGCCATGGTAACTCCATTGTGCTCCAGCCCAAGCAACAGAGAGAGAAAAGAGCCTGTCTCAAAGAAAACAAAAAACAAAAAAGGTGCGGGGTGGGTGGTTCATGCCTATAATCCCAGCACTTTGAGATGCTGAGGCGGAGGATCCCTTGAGCCCAGGAATTTGAGATCAGCCTGGGCAACAAAGTGAGACCTCGTCTCAAGAAAGAAAGAAAGAGAGAAGGCTGGGTGGCGGGGGAGGGAGAGAGGGACTGTGAGAGAGAGAGAGAGAGAGAGAGAGAGAGAGAGAGAGAGAGAGAGAGAGAGAGAGAGAATCTTCCTGGAATCTTCACTGAGATTTTCTCCTCCTGCCTTAGCCCTCTGCTGATCTTACCTCTCCAATCCAGCCTTGACCTTCAGACTGCTCACCGCTCCCACCCCTCATCCCCAGCTTGTGTTATGGTTATTAACTGCAGAGGCAAACAAGAAAGGAAGCACAAATAACAGAAGGGCAACCTCTGTCCTGTGCTGTCTGCTACCCTCCGCTGCTGCCTCTGAACTCCAGATGGGAGAGAAACGGAGAGGAGGGAAGCAAGAACAAGCACATTACCATGTGCCTCCCCTTCCCTCCTCGGTCTCGGTCTTCCTCTCCACTCACCGCACTGTGGATGCTCAGCTTTCCAGCCTCACACTGCCTGTGACTGTCATCTGCCCAGCTCCTGCCTTCTACCCACAAAGTACTCAGTGCTGTCCTCTCCATTTCTCCCTTCCCATACTCTTCACTTCCCCTACCTCAGCTAACCACTGAACCTGCTCCAGGCCGTGCAAGTTTGTACCTTGGTCAGGGTGCAGTCAACATGCTTGTCAATCTCCAAGAACAAATTTGTCTCCCCTTAGAAAGGTACTGTTTCCTCCAAGATAAACCCTGTGCCAGAGAGGCACAGGGCAGGGGAGTGCTGTGAGAGATACCATAACTATGATTATGGCAGCAAGCCCACAATGTAGTAGAAATCGATGGTGGACTTTAGCCATGATTCACAAGTTATTAATTGGAAAGCAAAGTTCAAAAGAGATCCTCAAATTACTGGTTACAAAATTTGCCTAAGTCAAGTTCACTTCACCATATAAGAACCTCGCTCATTTCTGCAAAGCGCTCCCCTTACCCGTCCAACCTTAGTTTCACCTTTCTTCGGCTTGCATTTTCTGTCTCATTTGGTAGCTCACTTCAGTGTTTCCTAATACATAGTATTAGCACAGCATTTCTATGCTAGTTGAAAATAGAAGCTTCCATTCAAAAAAGGAGGGCACAGCCTGAGACCCCAAGTTTGGACTTAACGTTTTTTCAATGATGCAGTGAAAAGCCAGTGACATGTAAGAGCTAGAGTCACAAGATGTGTTTTTGCATACATAAAATAAGGAAGTGTGTTAAATGACCCTCAGCTCAAAATCTGATATTCTATACAGCAAGCCTGGCAAACTAATGATCTTTTATGTCACTGCAACTATAAAAAAATTATTTCTGACTTCTAAATAACGGAATTAGAAATGAGCCTTAGGGCACGTAAACTTAAATGTTGAAGAATGTCAGTACGGAAAAATGTCAAGTAGACGAATTTTTTTCTTTAGGTTATCTGTCTTCTGTAGAGTTTTAAGTCTTCTAAACATGAATATCGATTTGAATTAAGAAAATCACTGGTTAAAGCACTTCATAGTATCACTCAACATGACTTTGTTCAGTGCCTGGCAGAGGTAATGTTTCTTGCAGTTCTGTTTTTTTCATGAAAGATTCTACTTCAGCAGCATTACCCCATTGATACCCAGAGGCTGTGATCTCGGAGACAGCCCCTCACACTAAGGAATAATGCAGGCCCATTTGAAATCCTCATAGTCACCTCCAAATACATTAAGAGCCCATGAATGACTCCATCTTTTGCTTTTGTTGCTGAAATACAAACGTGCATCTAACCTTTTTCTCCTCGCTTCTTCTTTGTTCTATCAATGTGGTCCTTGAGTTGAATGCGGACCTGTCGCTCATTAGGTTGGTCTCGTATAAATGGATGCTTCATCAGCTGTTCTGTTGCTGGTCGCTGGCTGTGATTCTTTACCAAGCAGCTCTCAATAAATGACTGGAATTTTTTTGACCTGCCAAACAAAAGAAATGAATCATGAATCCACAGATAAAATGGCGATCCAAAGAGACGCAAATGTGTAATTTCTGAAATGCTGGGATTTGTTTTTTTAAAGGTCCAATTGGCCAGCATAAGGATCATCCACTAATCACAAAACAGGTGTAGCACTAGAGCAGGCACAAAGGGTTCAAAGGGATCATCATCATCAGCAATGTGCAGCTGAGGTAACAGAAGGTAGTTATACACATGAAAGCATTTTCGCACAATTTATATATAACATTACGCGGCAGACCAAAAGGAAGCAGGGAAGAAAAAGACCCCCATGGGAATCACATCTAGAAGGGGTAGTGGAATAAGGGAACCAGAGCTGGGCCTTAAAGAATTAGGAGAAAATCACTCTGGGGAAAGGATAGTTCAGATGGAGGAAATCAGTGAAAAACTAATAGTAGGATGAGAATAATATATGTTGGGGGACACTGAGATGATGAGGTGAGCCACTTAAATGAGGCAGAAAATGTAAGCTGGAGAAAAGTAAAACCAACGTTGGGTGGGTAACAGGGAGTACATTTTGCAGAAGTAAGCGAGATTCTTATATGATGATGTGAACTTTGATTAGGCAAGTTTTGTACCTAGGATTTTCAGAATCACTTTTGAACTCTGCTTTCCAATGGATAAGAACAGGCTCTATGTGTACCTTTATTGTTAACTCAAGGACATAGACATTTAACTTTAAAGAATTACGTTCACAACCAGAGGCAAATTTATCTCCCTCTAGAAAGGCAATATTTCCTCAAAGATAAACCCGATGCCAGAGACCTGGCCGAGAGAGCATACCTACGATTACAGCAGGAAGTCCACAAAGTGGCAGAAATTAATGGTGGACTTCAGCCATCATTCATGAATTGAGCACGCATGTTCCTGCTGAGAGTTCCAAGGCATTGCTCAGAGTCATAAATAGTTAAGCTCATGACTCTAAAGCATGCTCTTCCAACGCAGTCCGGGAGGCCTTGGTGGGACGGGTCACCCTTCCCATCTGGCCCAGAGCAGGAATGATCTGTTTTGTGCTCTCTGTTGCCCTCCTGTGGTGGACAGGGGAGACATAGGACGGGATCCCAGGATTGAGCCTTTGCCCAGCGGACCCTGCACACAGACTCTTCAGGCCCGAGAGGTGCCTTCACCACACACAATGGGGAGCGTGTTCTTCAACACTCAAACATGACAGGGCACTTTGGTACGCATCACTCTCTTTTTTGTTTGTTTGAGACAGAGTCTTGTTCCATCACCCAGGCTGGAGTGCAGTGCTTCTCTGCTCACTGCCTCTCGGGTTCAAGCAATTCTCCTGCCTTAGCCTCCTGAGTACCTGGGACTTACAGCTGCCTCCAACCATGCCAAGCTTATTTTGTATTTTTGGTAGACACAGGGTTTCTCCATGTTGATCAGGCTGGTCTCGAACTCCTGACCTCAGGTGAGCCCCCCTCCTCGGCCTCCCAAAGTGCTGGGATTACAGGAGTAAGCCACCGCTCCTGGCTTGTATGCAGCATTCTCTATTGCTACCCAGGTCAAAGCAGCTTTTCACTTTATTCCACTGGGGTTTCTTTCCTTTCTAAATTTCTAAGCTACATTCAAGCTTTTAAAATATTTTACATAGAAGTAAAGGTAGAATACTGTGCTTGGGGTCGCCCCAGGAGGAATCAGGGTTGGCTACACTGTGGACTAGAAAGAGTGACAGCCGGACACTCTATGCACCTCCTTGTTAAGTGCTTCTGTGCATATCCTTGCTTCTTCACGCTGAAAATCCTCAGCTGCATCAGACGTGCCTGAGCCATCTTTGCGTGATAAACACACTACCTGATCTGCATGTTTGGTGCATGAGTGGATGCATGATGAAGGTTCTGGGCAAGAGCTGCAATACGGCCACGTTCAAGTCTCCACTTTTGAGGGAAAGAAAGGGAGGTATGGAGAGCAGATATTCTTCTCTTTCTCAGATCAAATACATCTGTGGAGGCATAAATATGATCTCATCCAAGAAGAAACCTTGCCAGAAAAAGGTAATAAAATAAAGGGTACTCCTAAGGAATGAACTGAAGAGAATGAGGTTAACCAGCATGAAGATATAAAAAACTCCATACAGTACTTTTTCACATAGAAAAAAATCAGTGTTAAAAAGATGAAAACAAAAATTAAGGCAGAAAGGTATGAAATATTTACAAGGAACATAAATGGCAGTTCTCTTTTTTTTGCTGGAAACTAAAAGAAAGTGCTTGTTTTGGTTTTGTGTGTGTGTGTGTGTGTGTGTGTGTGTGTCTCACTCTGTCACCAAGGCTGGAGTGCAATGGTGCGATCTCAGCTCACTGCAACCTTTGTCTCCAAGGTTCAAGTGATTCTCCTGCATCTTCGCCTCCTGAGTAGCTGGGACTATAGATGCGCACCACCGCACCTGCCTAATTTCTGTATTTTTAGTAGAGATGGAATTTTGCCATGTTGGCCAGGCTGGTCTCAAACTCCTGACCTCAGGTGATTCGCCTGCCTAAGCCTCCCAAAGTGCTGGGATTACAGGCATGAGCCACCGTGCCCACCGACATGCTTGTTTTTTATAAAATGCTCAACTAACTGTTAAAGGATGATAAATAAATCACATTCAATTTAAAAGTGAGATCCAGATTTAATAGACTGTACATTCTATTTCCTGATACTGACTTCTAAAAAAACAATAAACGAAATCTCCAGATTTCCAGAATTGAATAGTGTTCAAGTTTAATGAAATTAGTTATTAAACAGAGTCATTTTTCCCAGTATGCCTTGCTGGGAAAAAAACCTCAGAGATATTCAAGAGAATAATTTTGGGCCACATGTGCAGCATAAATGTACTTTAAACTCATTAGAGCACTCAGCAAACAGTGAGGTAATATTCGATATAGGTGAAGTGTTTTCACGTGGGCCTACATGTGCAGAACTACAAAGCTGGTAATGTATTTCATATCTTCCTCAAATGGTATCCTTTGTGGAGAAAATAATGCTTACTTAAAACGAGTCTTCAAAGAAGGATTCATAGTCTCTTATTTAAGTTAGCATGACCAAAGAATCAATATGCTTAATTACACACTTATTTAAGAGTGAAAACACTTCACCTATATTGAATATCACCTCACTGTTTGCCGAGTGTGCTAATGAGTTTAAAGTACATCTATATAACTTTATTACTTGAATCTCTCCTGATGGTAATTTAGTTCTGTTTCTTATAAAATAGAAACACCTAAGGTTAGTAATACTAATTTCCCAAGAGTTGGCATGGAGAAATAAATGGTAATGATTGGTGCCTATAGTCTGAGAAGACCAGCTCTATCATCGGAGTCACTAAATACTTTATCTTCCCAGATTTAACCTGTTTACATGTTAAATTGTGTTGGGGGAATTAAAAATGCTGGAAAGATTGTCTCATCCCCCATTATAACCAGTTGGGCTAAAGTTTTTGGTAATCATCATTTGACCTCAGAATTTGCATCGGTCCTGCCCTATTTCCCAAAGCTACCCTCTGCCTCCACTTTGAGTTGCATCACTTACTAACCTGGACAAATTATTTAACTTCTATGTGCCTCAGTTTACCTGGCTGCCAATGGGGATATTATTGGTACTTATCTCAAAAAAAGTTACAATAAGTGAATTAATTCATGTAAAATATTGAGAACAGTGCCTGGTATCATAAATGCCATATGTGTGTTTGCCATTATTATTTTGATGACTATGATGACATTGCCCCCAGCAACCCCTGAGCATCGCTAGGCTTAAGGAACACAGCATCCACTTTTAGGACTGAGGAACAGAAATCCCCACTTCTGGCCAGGTGTGGTAGTTCATACCTATAATCCCAGTGCTTTGGGAGGCCAAGATGGATGGATTGCTTGAGGCCAGGAGTTCGAGACCAGCCTGGGCAATATAGCAAGACCCTCTCTCTATAAATAATAGAAAAAATTAGCTGGACATGGTGGCATGCACCTGTAGTCCTAGCTACTGGAGAGGCTGAGGTGGGAGGATCATTTGGGCCCAGGAGTTTCAGACTGCAGTGAGCTATGATTGCTCCACTGTACACTAGCCTGGGTGACAGAATGAGATTCTGTCTCTAAAAAAAAGAAATCACCATTTCTGTTGAACACAGTAAACCTATAGATTAAATATGTTAGCAGGAAGAGTCAACTGGGCTGTTATCTTCAAGGAGGGTGCACAAAAAAAGTTAATTTTTAAAGTCTGTATAATAGTTTTTAGCTGGATTTTAATAAAGTCCAAAGTTCAGTCACATTACTACTAGCAAATTCCACCTATTTGAAGGGTTTTCTGACATTTGCTCTGTATTATTATTTAGAAACACACACACACACACACACACACACACACACACGAGCTTTGTCCTATCTCAAAACAAAAGTCTGACAACCCATCAAGAATCAGAACTGGTGTCTCATAAAATAACGGGGGTGATTTTAAGCCTTGGAGCCAAAGCAGGACGCCGGGTCCAGGCTGGCTCTCCCAGTGAGGAGCCTAGGACTCGTGCAAATATGCCCCTTAGCCTCACTGGCCCTCCACATCTGCATCTGGAGCATGAGCAGCTTGGACCAGTGGAGCTTGTATAGACAAGCAGTTATGACTTTTTCTAATGATCTCAGCTGAGTGCTGCTTTTCCAGTGTGGGCTCTTCAAATGTAAAAGGCATGTGAAAAGTATAAGATTCACCATTTTGTACTTGATGGAGCCATTCCTATTCTTCTCCAGAAGGCCCTGGAGGGAAGCAATGGCACTGAGTATATTTGTGAGGGCAGGTGAATGTGGATGAGCAGGGTGGCAGGAGAAAATTTTTTGAATGAGATGGTTTACCCCTGCGAGTGGAACCCACCCACACACAAGAGACAGGAGGAAAAAATGGGAATCCCAGTCTTACTATTCACTTGCTGGTGCTGACATAGGGGTAGAGGGTGAGAATATCTTTGGTTTCCTCTGATTCAACTAAGGGTACAATCCTCCCAGACAACTTATTATTAAATGCCTGAACATTCGATGGTGCCCTAACTTCATAATCCCTTAGCACAAAGGACCCTCCTCATCATACTAATAGGGAAGGAAGAACGGGGCTCCTGTGAGTGGTGGTGGTCTCTTTTTCCTTCATGATGACAGTGGAAAGAGCAGCACCACTGCCTTTACTTCTTAAATCTTGAAGGTACAAGTTAAAAAAAATTCACACTAAGTGACCAGTTTATGCCTTGCTTGTTGTAGACTCAGTCATGTTGAAAGTGATGCTCCATTGAATGTTTACCATGAAAAGAGTTCATGGTCCTACCTCTACAATGGCGACCTCTTTGGTCATGTGTTGATAGATACACTGAGAATAATGCATTTAACCTGATAACTCATTTAGGTAGAGAAGACCTGGAAATAAAAGAACATTTTGGAGTTTTGCCTCTTGGTTGGGGAAGGGAGTCCTTTCCTTTAAAGAAAAAAATTAAAAAAAAAAAAAAACAACGAAACGTTTCATTTCCTCCCATACGCTAGAGTCTATTAAAGTCAACCCTAACTTACTTCGAATTACTTTTGACCTGCTCTTTCAAGGTAAAACACTTAGAAATGTTTAAATATGTTCACTTAAAAACTGGTGGAATTGTATTACAGAGAAATGGGAGCCATGCCTGCTGTCAAGTATCATGTGCCTGGGGCAGCACCAGCCCCTCTACAAAGGCTGGGATGGAAACGGGAAAGGGCACATTCCCAGGGCTTTTGATGCCCCAGTCACTCTCTAACAATCAGGTCACTTTTCCTTCCGCCTAACAATACCGGGCGGTTCCCATAGCTTTCCTAGCCAGCTTTCCTTACGCATCAAGGGAAAGGTGTGCAAGGTGGCAGGAGGAGGTGAGATTGGCATGGACTTCTCACTGTTTCCAAACTTCTCAAGCTCCCTTGAATTATTAAAATTCATTCTTGTCAAAGGTCTGAAGCAGAAAAATCAGCCTGCATTGTCCTAAAAGTTTGTATTTCTTAAACAAAGCACGCAGTTGATCTTTTTGGATCTCTGTCAGTGAAAACCAACACCGTAGTGCAAGGAGTGCGATGTCTCTTCACGCACTTTTCCTTGGGGTCGGGCTGGTCACAAAAAGGGGTGGTGCAGATCATGGTTAATGAAAACGGGAGGTGTATGCCAACCAACCGACAGCAGCTTCTGAGTTGGGGAGAGGTGGCGGCTGGAGCAGAAGGACAATCCCTTGCCCTAAATGGGAGCAGGAGCTGCTTAGCAGGTAGTTCACTGCATCTTTGCAAGGAAAAGGCCAGAAATCTAAATGTAATGCTCAACTGACAGATTTTCAGGTGTTGTCAATTAATACACATATTTTTAAAACAGGGTGTATGACCACACTGCGACAGCCAAATAAAACACATCTGTGAAGGGCCGGTTTGTCCTTCTCCATAGAAAAGCTCAGGATACGTGTCCAACAGCAGTAAAGGCAGAGGAGGATATGAGAGGGCAGGGGACAGGGTAAGTCAGGCCCACTGCATACAGCAGACTAGCAGATGTCAAACAGGAACCTAGCAGAGGGCTTTGTAGTGTCACTGTCGCTTCCAGCAAAGAGAAGGGAGCCAGCCCCTCTCCCCGGGAGTCTGATCCAGAGAGAAGAGAGGAAGCAGGGTGTTGGGGTGCTCTGCCGATCACATGATGTGTGACGCCCAATGGGAGGGCTGTTGCTGGGGAGAGAATGGTTGTCTTGTACCACAGTGACCCTCCGCAGAGGAAGGAGGAGCAGGGAACACTCTGCCTCCTTGTTACCAATAGCAACTCTCACTCCCCTCGCAGGCCCGGCAGTTCTGAGGCTGCCATCCCTTTTCTGGCTGCTTCCCTCCCTCTTTCTGTGCAGCATGCCTTTCCTCTGTTCCACCACGGTGGCTGTCATTAGCAGATGACTGGTAGTAATTAAGGCTGCCCTCTGTATGTGGGTGGGTGGGTGGGAAACATGAGGGCCCAGTCAAGCGCTTGGTCATGAAGGGCTGTGGAAAGGGGCAGAAGGATCCTGTCCCTTCACGCTCTCACTGCCCAGGATTTATCTCTAGAAAAACGATAGGTGGTCACAAGTGGTGCAGGAATTGGCCTCAGTGCAAGAGTAATCAGAGATTCAAGAACATATCAGGGAGGACACACCATTTCCATAGGAAGAAAGGAGGAAGCAGTGAATTTTGGTTATGGAATGACAAGATAAAAAGATTCAGACTATATAATTATCTCGAAAAAGTCAAATGTCCAACATCTGGCTTAACCTGTAGAACTGTTTCTCAAATGTCAGTCCATAGCCGATCTACATAATTTTTGCCATACCTCACACCACTCATACTAGTATTCATGTAGTAGTTTTCTTTAAAGTAAGCCACCATTTTATGTAAGTTTATTAAAAGGAAAAGTTATAGCTCTGCCCCAAATAAGAAGCCAGTATCACCTGCCATATGCGAAGACAGCAGTAATGACAAAATACTGCAAATGCTCATACACGTGCCAGAGAAATAATCTCAAACATTACCCGGTATGTATATAAACTTAGGGAATTACTGTTGTAAGAAACAGAAGAGAAATCAGCCAATCTAACGGGCTGACTCTCCAAATTATCACCCTCTCTGATAATCTGTTCTGTGCTGCCAGGAAAGACATGACTTGGGGTTAAAGTCAAACAGCTTTCGTGTTATTACTTGGGCTTCACTTATGCATTTTGGCTAATAATTTCTTATCTTGAAGGTGGGAGAATAAAGACTTGCTGTACAAATAGTAGCTACTCAATATGTACTATAAGATGAATTACAGCATATGGAAAGTCATTCACCAAGCCATAATATGTATTAGTCTCATTCTATCAGCAGGACCTATAAATTAGAGCTAATCCAAAATTGAACCACAAGAAAACGTCACCCTTAGATCTGGAAAACATTGAAGACCAAACTCACCACTTCTTAGACTTCAGCCGAGGCGCTGGGTTCCGGGGGATGAGAAAGAGGGCTCTCATAGGGTGCATGTCACAGAGCGCTACAAGAGACCAAAACAAGGGCCAGATACAGTTAGGAGGCCAAACCCAGGCCAAGCCCGTCTTGGCTGTGCAGGTCATGCTGCCCGATGACTCACTGAGTTTACACACGACCAGTGAGCACAAAGTCAGAACATCCAAATGCTTCCATTTGATGAGCATTTGAAAGATTCAATGTCCACTTACAGGAGTCTCATCAAATACAACGTGGTTTATGTAGCTACTGCTAACATGTCCAGTGAATACACATCTACTGCACGTTTAAGGAAACTAAGTTAAAGGATCAACAACCAGCCATCCTTGCCGTGAATGACCACCTGACATTTAAAGTAAATAACATCAGATGACAACTACTAATGGAGAGGGTAAGGTATTTTTAATTAGTAAAAGCCAAAGCCATAAATAAAAGATATTTGGTTATCCATGCTATTTCTTTCACTTGACAGCTCATCCAAATGCAACGTTATCTACAGACTTTTGGAGTCCAAAACACCAGAGCCCGATTTTCTCTGTTTCCAGATATTCCGAATGGTTTTTCAGGTTTTGTAAAGGGTTTTGTTTCATTTTGTTTTCAAATTCACTGGCCCCAGGAAGCCCAGAGGATTAAGTCACACAGAGTCTGGCAGAAAAACAAAGTTATAAAAAGATCTCTTCTTGTAAACATGACATTATCGTTTATAGCGAAAGCACTCATATGTTCTTACTTTAATAAAAACATTTTATTAGTTTACTTTTCAAACATCTGGGAGCATTTCTACTTTGTAGCTAGAATAAGAATATATGCTCCCTAAAAGCCAAAGGATTCTGTGGGCAGAAGTTTATTTTTAGCACTGTCTACCACTCATCAAGAATGATAATATGGTTTAGAACTGCAATATATTATTTTTCTGATTCACACATGCCTATTAGCATTGTGAATGAGGGCAATTTTGTCAACCAGCACTCCAAATCAATCATGCTACAGATGAGTTCTACCAATTCTAGACTGAAAAGTAAGAAAACAATGACAACCTGAAGGTAAAAGTCGTAAGTATAACGACCTGTAGTGCAGATAAAGCTCCTATTTTTTTCCTGGTCCTTTGACATGCAGACACCAAGGATATTACTGTGGAAATTACTATGTGAATGGAAATCGGAAGGAGCCAGGCAGAATGGGAAGTCATCAGATTGCTATGCAAGTCTGACCCTGAGTGAAGGAGAGAGGGAGAAAAGGTAGGTGGATGGATCCCACACTGTCCTGTGGGTCCTGTAAAGTCATAGGGGATCACTTGGGTGAAAGTTGCCTATAAAGGAATCTTGTATCTCCAGGAAAGGGCCTGCCTTTGTATCTCCACTGTGCTAGGTCACTGGCAGGGAGGGACCCTTGAAAGGTGCGGCCTGGTGCCACTGCAGCAGCTGGCTGTCAACCAGTTACACTTCCTATATGGAAATCGTGAGGCACAGTCTCCTGACAGAGACTCTCTGCCAGGCCCAATACTCCAAATCTCAAGGAAATGAGATTTTCAAGACTGCTGGAGCCCTGGCCACTCTGCCTCAAATAGCAGGGAAATCTAAAATTCTAAACATCAGTATTTTAAGAGGAGTGATAGCGATTGAGTGCAGTCTTTGTATAACGTGTGCATTGAAAATTAATTTTGAATTTTCATACATTGGCGTTTATAGTTTTGTGAGTTGGTCACAGTTTTACATCAGATAAGGAGGAGTCAAAGGACAAACGATGTACAGAATCTGTAAAACAAACAAGACTCTCCAAAGTATGCTTTCTTTTCTTCCTTTTTTCTAATAAAAACAGGATTCTCTCACTGCTCTGAAATGAATGGATTCCTGGTTGATTTAAGATGACTCTGCTTTCTAAATATGCCAGCTTGAATCCATGCAGGGCTCGGTGTAGTGGAAGTAAAGCAACTGCAGCTCCTGGCAAAGAAACTTCAGTACCTGCAGAGCAGACCAGCAACAGATTTCACCCCAGAGGAAGGTACTTACGGGGAGCACCTTCTGCCATTTCGATGGCGGTGATTCCCAAAGACCACAAGTCGCTCTGAAAAAGAAGGGCAGACACACACATAAATTCAATCAACAAAGGAAAACTTGGTTAAACCCGGTAATTGCTTCAGAGCTGCCGGTGGGAAAGGCATTCAGTTGTCTGTTTACAAACCTATTTCTTCCACTAACCTTCGAAGCAGAAACAATCTTATTTGCTTTTCATTGATAATACCATTCATGGAGTTTGGCACATGGCAGCTTATCAATAAATGTATAAAAAAATGAATATAAAAATGTTTAAATTAATTCATTACTGAAATATACCTGTAGATTGATGCATAGAAATTGCTGCCATCCGACTGTTTATAACACCATCATTGAGCTATAATTGTCATATAATAAACTACACATAAAGTGCACCAGTTGATAAAGTATGACGTGGGGACACTCCTGTGAGCCCATCACCACAATCAAGACAGTAATCATATCCATCATCCCCCAAAGATCTCATTTGCCTCCTTCCTTTCCTGCCCGAATCCATCCCTACTCTTGTGTCCCTAGGCAACCAATGATCTGCTTTCTATCACTATGAATTAGTTTGTATCTTCCAAAGTTTTATATAAGTGAAATAATATATGTGGTCTTTTGTATTTGCTCTCTTTCATGTAGAATGATGTTTCTGAAGACCATTTGGGTTGTAGCACATATCAGCACTTCACTCCTTTTTATTGCTGTGTAGTATTCCATTCTATGGACACCTCACTGCTTTTGCATTTGGACTGCTTCCAGTTTGGTCTATTACAGATACAGCTGCTGCAAACATTGATGTCCAAATCTGAGGGTGTATGCTTTTATTTCTTTTAGGTAAAGACCTGGGAGTGGAATGACTGGATCATATGGTCTGTGTTATTTATATTCAGTTGTTTTTAACCAATGAAAATAGCAATTTCATATGGTTTTACCTAATAAGATGAGGACAGGGAGACTTTCTGATGATGACATTCACTGATGTCTCTCTAGTGCTTAGATCAGAGTTGGGCAGAGTAGGAGATACTCAATATATTTGTTGAATAGATAAACCGTCTATCTGTAAGTAGACTAGTATGTAAAATAGAGACAGTATACATTTATATTATTTCTTATGCTCAGACTGACTTTTATTCTCAGAACAGAATTTTCTAGGCCAATGCCTCCACTTCTACCTCTCCATCTCTAACAATATTCTCCTCCCAAACTCTGTGTCTGTGACTCAATAGTCTCTAAATATTGGATGGGAGAGGGCAAATCAAGAGATAGGGAAAACCTGGTTAGAAAACACCAAAGAGAGGCTTGCTACCACCGTTTCACAGCAGATTGGTAAGAAAATCTAATACCAAACTTGGTTCAATGGCCCACATCCTAATTTAGATATCTCATTTTAAATACCTCATGCATTTTGTACATTTTTCAAACTTCTCTCAGAATAGAGTGATTGAACTTAAGTTTCCTTGCCATTACCATCAAACAAATGTCAAGGCCACGTGAAAAAGAGATGTAACTGGAAGAGAGCTTCATAACATTCCTAACATTCATGTTGAGTCAATCCCTAGAACTAAGTTTCTCAAAATCCTGTGAGTGACATTCAGGGCTGTTCAGTAACTGGGCAGAGGACCATACAATGTGGAAGGGGTTTTCTGGGGGGTCTAGGCTCTTGCCTAAAGTGCAGTCTACCTGAGAGCAGGTGGCTGGAGCACATGTGTAACCTCACACTAGGAGCAAGGGGGATTCTTTAAATGTTACCAGTTCTCAGTTCAACTGGGAATAGCAATGCACTTTCACAACACCAACATCTCAAAACTCCGAGGAACTCTCTGCATACAACACAACTCACAAAGGCAACCCTTGTCCCTTCTCTTTGTTATGTTTCAAGATGTACACAGATTTTCATTAAACACAATCTGCACCCCATATTTCTCTAGCCTAGCAAGTGACTGAGTTTCCCGGAGGCTCTTGGTCTCACTTAGTGAGATTATTTCCAGAGGTGATGGGGAAGGCTCGGCCTGTCTATTACAAGTTGGCTCAGGAGCAATAACTGGTAAAGATGAAAACACCATTCTATTGTACCTGGGGTTTTATGGTTGATAGACAAAGATAATCATTTGGGAACATGACAAACACTGAGTCATTCACTGTTCAGGAAACTTTAAACAGAAAGCACAGCAAGAATAGTCTGGAAATGGTAGGTTGGCTCTAAAAGTACCTGTGCTATTTCGATAAGACTCTAGTATCTCCAGACCTTGGTACTTCTACCCCCATATACCCCAAATCCCTAAGAATTGAGTGTTTCTATAGTATGAAATAAGGCACAAGTAAGAAGGTGGCAGTAACTACAACAGAAGATTCACATTTAAATAGCTTTCAAGTCCAGGAAGCTTTGAGCTAGGTTGAAAACCAATATATGTGAAAGAAAATGATGGTTCTGGGGTAAGAAGGGCTCAAGGCCAGGCCTCAGGTGGTGGAGAAGGAAAATGCTCAGAGGGCCCAGACACACTTCTACCTTTGGATCTTGACTCAAGGTGTTCCCTCTGCCTGCAGCACCTCACCAGTGATGTGCTGGCTGATTCTCCTCCCCAAAGCCTACTCAACCCCTGTGTTCTCAGTGAGGACCACTGTGACCTTCCCCATATTTGTCCCTCACAGAACTAAGTACCTCTAACATACGACATATTCATTCATCACTAATTTACCATGTTTTGTGTTCATTGTTTGTGTCCTTTACCTCCAACACACATACATAAGAGCATAAGGGCCACAGGGCAAGGATCTTTGTTCTGTTGTTTGATATATCCAAAGTACCCAGAACAGTCCCTGGTACACAGTAGGCCCTTAATAAATATTTGTTGAATGAATGAACAAATGAAAGATACATGACAGAAAGTAGCAAAACCTATCTAGGGCTGGTAGACTCTTTGTAGATCATCTAGCCCAGCCTTTCATTTCACAAATGAGGGAAAGTGACTTGCCCAAGACCAGAGAGTAACTTAGCAGCTGGTTTTAAACTGAGTTAAGTATTCTGCCTCCTAGGCCAGTTCTCTTTTAACTATCATCATAATGTAAGGACTTGAGTATTTACCATTTTTCCCCTTATCACTTGTTTAATCCATAAAATAATTACTTCAGATTCCTACTTTGTCCATATGACTGAAGGTGCTAGCAATTCAATAAAGGTGTCGAGATTCAATGAGGTACTCCAGTTTCCTACGATAAAACTGGCCTCAATTTCCCAATGGCAACATGAATGGTAGAAGGAAAGAAATACACAGGTATTGATTGACTGACTGAGATGAAGTTTCACTGTGTTGCCCAGGCTGGTCTTGAACTCCTGGGCTCAAGCAATCCTCCCACCTTGGCCTCTCAAATGTTGGGATTATGGGCATGACCACACCAGGCTGACAATAGGCCTTTAAATCAGGCAGATCTGGATTCAAATCGAGGTTTCTTATTCAGCTACACGCAGAGTGCTGCTCAGAGCTTGGCTTTTCAATTGCTCAATGGAAATAACCGTGACACACATGTATTGATCAGGTAGCTGCTAGCACAAAATCTGGCACAGAGTGGGGCTCAAGATGATTGATTTCCTTCTCCTCCACTGTCAAGTGACATTGCCTTTGCTTGCCCAACTTAGTCTTCTTTGATTTCCCTCCATTTAGTTGTGGCGGAAATTATTTATTGGCTAATCCAGTGGTCATTTTCAACCCTCATTTTTCTTGCTGCTTCCATTTCAGAGTGTAGCAAAGCCGCCCTTGCCTATGCTGACTCCACTACAGCTAAGGATGGCAGTTAAAGATGTGACATAGTTCTCGCCAATGAGACATAAGCAAACATCTTCTGGGAGCTTTTGCTTTTCCTCAAATAAGGGACAAATACACCTGGTGGCTTGCTAACTTTTTCCCACTTCTTAGTGCCTTAAATAAAGAGCTACAGTATCCATCTTGCAACCATGTGTCAGTAAGCCAACAAATGAATGACGGCAGGACAGAAAGTTGGCGCTTTGGTTTCTGAAGACATCAACGAGCCATCGCATCAAACCTGGACTGCCTGCCTCTAGATTTCTGGTGGCATAAGAAACATATAGACATATACAGCAATAATCTGAAGAAACATATTTTGGCAGTAGGAAAATGGAGAGATCTCCTTTGTTAGGTAATTCTGGATTTATCCCCCAGGAAGTAAGAAGGTTTAAGGAAAAGACATATACTTTATTTGTTATGCATCATCTCAGGATCCCACTTGGGCAGCCTTTCCCCAAGTCCCCAAACACCCCTTTCAAACGAAGGATCACACCACCGCAAATACCTGTGCATACTCTGTTAAATCACATGACCTAGCAGATTCTGCTGCTTCCTTAAGCCTTCATTTGATACCATTGTTACGATCCTTTTTTTCCCCTGGGATTCTCTTGTTTTCTAAAAGGAACATTTATATCCCTGGCCATATATTCCCAAAGCTGCTTGTAAGTTACACTTAACAGCCCTGGCTAGAAAGCCATAAATGTCCTTGACAGGTCTTGTTTAAGCCTTTGGATACATTAGCGAGTCCCAAAGACACTTCAGAACTTAAATAAAGGAGAAAATGCTCCAATTACGACTGGCAAGACAGATCACAGGAGACGAGAAAGAAAAGAGGGAAGAGGAAGATGAGGAGGGAGTTCGGGAGAGATAAGTTTCGTTCATGGCCATGGCGTGACTCATTTTGGCAGGAGCTGGGTAATTCATTATTCCAGAGGTGCTGTGCAGCCTAGCCTGTGGTGTGATTAATGGCCTAGCACTGTGTGCATTACAAACAGAAAAGAGACAAATTTTAGTGCCTTTGGGAAGTCAGAGGCAAGACAGAACTTCTGGCTGCTAGAAAGGGTGGGGGTGAGGAGAAGCTGATACACAAGCAACTTGAGCAGAGCAAGAGAACGTTCCTTCTCGGGCTGGGCTGCTCAACACAGTGAAGAAAAGCAATACTTTTAGATGTCTGAACCAGCCACACAAGAATGAGAGGCAGTGTGGCACAAGATGAGAACCTCAA